GTGTGTGTGTGTGTGTGTGTGTGTGTGTGTGTGTGTGTGTGTGTGTGAAGTGCAGGTGCACGTGTGTGTGTGTGTGTGTGCGCGCACGCTTGGGTATTAGATACAGCACTCAGACCGTCGTGCTACCTGCTGCACGTGTGTGTGTGTGTGTGCGCACGCACGCTTGGGTTTTAGATACAGCACTCAGACTGTCATGCTACCTGCTGTACTATCTCCCAAGCCCTATCCAAAACATCCTCACGTTAACATCATCGTGTTCATTGCCATTTAACAGGGTTGGTGGTAGAGGTGAGTATGGAGAGATACTTGATGTGATGAGGTCGGTCCTGAGGGTGGCCCTGAGATGGCACTGTGGCTGTTAGCCTGGGATGTCACTATCACACTGTGGTGTAGCAGATGTTAAGCAGATCTGGCACCATCCATGCTCTTGAATTTCCAATTCTCCAAAGCCATGTGTCAAATACACATCTAATTTTTAGAGTTACCAAGTCTCAGTGGTTTGTTAAGGCACAGAATATCTTACACATAGTGGCATTGAGTACCTGTTAGCTTTAGCATTTCTGGCTTCCCAAGACCCCAGATTTAGTCTAACAACCTTAGCAAGTGTTGTGGATGCCCTACCCATTACGGTTCAAGGAAAGTCCCCATTCTTCCAGCTGACCAGGCTTTAGAATATATGCTTATTTTTTAATTTATTTTATGTGTGTGTGTGTTTTGCACCATATGCATGCCTGGTGTTTGAGGAGGCCAGAAGAGGACATTGGATCCCCTGGAACTGAAGTTACAGATGTTTGAGCCACCAAGAGGTGCTGGGATTTGAAGTGGGGTCCTCTGGAATTACAGGCAGTGCTGTTAACCACTGAGTCATCTCTCTAGCCCCTAGCCAAGTGGTCTTTATTCTGAGTTGCCCCCCTCTGCCTGTTAGAGTTATGTTCACACCCCAGGACACTTAGCCAGTATGCTGCATGGCTAGCCCCCTCCTTCACCCTGCAATAAGCAGAGAGGGTGTTTCCATGTTAGGCTTAAGTTCCATCTGCCCACAGTGCAGCTGGCGCTGGCTCAATGCATCTGTTGCAGGCTTTCTTTTTATACACGGCTTACTTCTTCATTCTTCTGGTATTTTCCAGAAGCACCTCTGAAATAAGATGATTGGCACCTCAGAGAGCAAGCCGTCTCTGGTTCTTCTAAAAGCATACCAAGACACTGCCCATTGCCAGTGTCCTCTCAAGTGAGGGAAGCCACGCGTGTGGTCACAGGCGAAGAAAGCATGGAGGGACTGCTTACTTGACTTTGGCGGCTTCCGATAGGTGGCGCAGCTCCGCGGGCATGTTTAGGATGTCAGGGAAGTGCTTCTCCAGGATCATGATCAGGTAATGAAGCAGAGAGATGTTCCTGCGGGTGACAGATGTGTCAGGGGAGGGGGTGATGAAACCAGACAGAGTGTGACGGGAGGAAAAACAAAGAAGGGGCTGGAGAGATGCTCAGCAGTTACGGGGCTTTCTGCTCTGCCAGAGGACCTGAGTTTGGTTCTGAGCATCCACAATGCCTGCAACTTCAGTGCCAGAGAATTCAGTGTCCTCTGCTGCTCCCACGGGCAACTGGGACACACACACCACCCCACACTAAAATAATTCTTTACAATATTTTAAACATGGACAATGCAGCTAGAATGGAGAGATAGCAGAGGGTTAGACGGGGAGGGAGACACAGGATGGGGTGAGGCAGGGCAGAGGAAACCCCTGAGTCCTCACCTGTCAATGCTGGACTTCGTGTCAGCAATCTTGTTGAGACTGGCTACCCGGAACCCACAGGCACCCCCACGCTGTCCCTTGTTCATGAAGTTACCAATGGCCAGGACCACCTCCAGCATCTGCTTCAGACTCTTGCTGAGGGTCAGCTCCCGGGAGGCCAGCAGGATGGCTGGGAGAAGAGAGACAGCTCAGGACGCTGCACAGCCTGAGCCAGGACAGCAGGGCTCCTGGTTTCTTAGGAGGATTATGGAAGAGGCTACCTTTTCAACTCTTGGGTAGCAACTCCCCGTTCTCTTCAGGACAGCACTAGCCTATCCTCAGAGTGGATTGCCTCTAGAATGACCGGAACTGTCTCATCATACACACAAAGATTATTACAGCTTTTATGAAGACATACTTGAATATGGCAGTTTTATTTTTTTCTAGACCTGACAAATTCTGTGCTTCCTGGAGCTTTTTATTATGGGATGCTTTGACACATTTTGAAATTCTGTATTGTATGTGTGTGTGTATGTTCACATGGGTGCATGTGTGTATGTATTCACGTGCAGGTATGTGCAGGTATACGTGGAAGTCAGAGGTCAGTCTCAGGTACCATCCTCAGATGATGCCTTTGGTGAGATAGCTGGAAGATCAAACCACTTGGTGGCCTCTGGCTGTGTGGATGGGAAATTCCTGAAGGTGCTTGTTATAAAAATAAAATGAAGCCCTTGAGGCTTGGAAGATGATGCCCCATTGGGTGGAGCAGTCATTATGAAGGTAAGAGGACCCAAGTTCAAATCCTCAGCACCTAAAAAAAAAGCCAGGCATAATCATGTGTAGGACTGTAACCCCAGTGCTGGAGAAAGAGGGGAACCACAGACAAGAGAATCCTGGCAGCTTCCTAGCCATCCAGTCTAGCCCAAACAAGCTTCAGGTACAGAGAGAATGTCTCAAAAGCCAAGATGGAGAGAGATGGACATCTGATGTTCTCCTCTGGCCTCTGCATGCATGTACATGGATGTGCACTGTGCACTCATGTGTGCACATGCCATACACACAACAAACACATATCACCTATAAAGGAAAACTCAAGGGCAAAAGTTTACAAAAATTTTCAGTCAGTTAAAAATGCATCAAATGTAACTGTGAAGAAGATATTAAAATGAGAAGTGAGAGATGTCTACATAGCCTTTAGATCACATATTCTCTGAGCTAACACACCCTGCCATGCATGCATATTTAGGTTGTTCCCAGTGCATGCACACATGTGTCTGTGTGCATGTGCATGCATCTATGTAGAAGCCAGAGACTGCCTTTCAGTGTGACTGCTTTGGGGTCACCCACACTCCTGTCAGTAACCACTCATTGGCTTCCAAGGGGAAACTTCAGTGAACTCGAACTTTGGTCGGTCACTGGGGCCTTAGAAAGTGGGAGGACAGACATTGCCTAGATCAACAGCCCCCACCACCCTAGGGGGAGTGAAATTCTTAAGACATAAGCAAAAAAAATTATAAAATCACTCAGCACATTATTCCATTTATAGAAAGCTGAAATTAGAAAAACTCATCCAGACATCAAGATAATTCTGAAGAGGAGAGAGGATGCTCACTTAGCAGGGTGACATTTCTAATGTCAGGAGAGGAATACAAAGAAGGCTGGAGTCAGGCAGTAGTGGTGGTGCACGCCTTTATCCCCAGCACTTGAGAGGCAGGTGGATCTCTGAGGTCAAGGCCAGTCTGGTCTACAGAATGCGTTTGAGGACTGTTATGCTATGAAGAGACCCTGTCTCAAAGGGGACTGTGGCTTGGCTGAAGAAATGGCTCAGCCGTAAAGGCTAAGGCTCACAACCAAAGGACAAGAAGGGATGCATGGCTTGGAAACATTGAGTTTCTTACCATGGCCAGGATGGGGATCACTTCCCAATTGCCCAGTGGGAACAGCTGTATTGATTTGTGAGCCCCTCTATGTATTACTACTATATTTCAACAAAAAGTTTATTTTCAAAAAAGCAAATAAAATGGGCAGAAGAGGTCCACACCTTTAGTCCCAGCACTAGGGAGACAGAGGCAGCAGATCTCTGTGAGTTCGAAGCCAGTCTGGTCTACAAAGTGAGTACCAGGACAGTCAAACCTACACAGAGAAATCTTGTCTCAGGGTGGGGGTGGGGGTGGGCGATGAAGAAAGGAAATAAAACTTACTTGCAGAAGTCCCCAGTTACTTGTATGACTAGGGAGAATTTTCTAAGGTTGGTGGGCTGTTTGAAAAATCTATAAAGGAATATCCTTTAAAAATGCTAAAAATGTTGGCAAAACAGAAAATGATCAGAGTTGAAAGGAAATCAGAGGCGATGAGAAAACTCCCGTCTGTGATGCTGACATTTCAGAGCATTCACGAGAATAATATGTTCATGAATACATTCATAAGAATATTACATTTACAGTCACATCCATCCAGGCTATATTTAGTGAACCTACTGGTAATGAGAATTGGTAAATTTAGTGTACTCAGCAATGACTGTATTCATAGGCAGAATATATTCAAAGCAAAACTGGGAAATTTGTCAAACTTGGTAAAAATGCCCTGAAGTAACTTCACCTGCAGCCCTGTCTGGGGGAGGGGAGGGTGAGTGTCAATGGCTCCACAGCCAGCTGAGGTAGCTCAATCTTAGCTATTTCAGGAACACTTCTGTAAGAGCTAGAAGCAGTAATAAATATGGAGTCCAGTGCCAAACAGCCGAGCACACTGACAAGATTGTGTGTGTAGATGCCTTCGGACAACTCCCCAGCCTGGCTCGAAGCCCTTCAGGGACAGCAGTCACCCCGCTATAGACTGTGGCATCCCCACAGGTATTCTTGCCAGCATGTCTCTTTCTGTGTAGCTTGATATTAAAGAGAGGCTGCATGGAGCATCCTGGCTGAGCTTAGGTACGTCTCCTTGGAGTACCTAGCAGTCGAAGATGACACCTTCCCAGTGCCCAAGCCACTCCGCTTCCATAGCTCCAATTGGCCACTCACGTGTGCTCCACGCATCTAAGAGGCATAAATATTTGAGCACCTACACGTTGGTCCCCAAAGTAGTTTGCAATAGGAAGAGAGTGGAGGTGGAAAAGCCTTACCCGTCACAGGGGCAAGGACATACCCCAGATGGATCATCTATTCTCTATCACTAGCTGAAGGCCCCTTGTTGCATGTACATATGTGCACAAACTGAACACCACTGCCTTTATCTCTCCAAACCCCTGCTCCAGAAATCCCTACCTGCTCTCTGAACTAGGCATCTCAGAGAGTGTCCAGCAGGGGGCACCCATGCTCTGCTGTCTCCAGCCTGGCACCCTGAGCATCCAAGATGGTCTCTTTCTTCCCGTCCTGTAAGTCTTCTCCTTACCCTCAAGTGAACCCCCAACCAGTTTCTCCAGCTTCTGCCTTGCTGGATGCACATATCTGCCCACCATCTTGCCCCCCATTCCTTCTCACAACTCCTTCATCCTGTTTATCTGCCTACCCCACAGGCAGCCCCAAGGATTTGCTCTCTGACTTAGTGATGAGGGAAGGGACCAGTTGGGAGGACAGCAAGCATCTACATGGCCCCAGAACTCCTCACGTGTCTCAGAAATGGCATCTGGAGCAGGCCTGCATCACCCAGACTCTGTACCAAGCTGGATACATCTAGGATCTATGTGGTTGCCTTCTCTCTGATGAGCTCGCACCCCGGCAAATATACCCAGTAGACTTTGTGAACTTGGTGTTTCTCAAATAGGAAATGGTGATGAGTCTGCATGCCAGGCTCCAAGAAGAGTGGCCCCATTCCTATTTCCTGGTCCTTCCTGTCCCAGGCTGGGGCAGATGTCAACAGCCATCCGACCTGGGGAGTCAGTGCTGAGGAAGAGGGGGGCATCATATGGTTGGCACTTAAGCCAACATAAACTAAAGCATTTCTCTATAATAATCGTATTTCTAGTTGGTGGTGCATTCCTGCAATCCCATCACTTGGAAGGTGGAGGCAAGGAGATTAGGAGTTCAAGACTAGCGTCGGTTACATAGTAAACTGGAGGCCAGCCTAGGCCAGCATGAAACCCTGCTGAAAATATAAATTTCTTAGTTTTAAATGTTATCCTTAACTTGGGTATGTCTCTGGGGTCAGGGTAAGGCAGAAATTTCCCTCTGCGCCACCAGTTAATCCCGAGTCTCATCCCCTCTCGAGGTGCTCACCACAGGCCCCAGCCTACCTTCCACTTTGGGCTTGGCCTCTGCCAGCCGTTCCTGGAACTTCTTCTTGAAGAAGAGGGCCTGGAGTCGCTGCTGGTAGTGGTCAATCCTATGGACAGGACAGGCTGTGTCACAGGCAGACCCATGACTCCAAGGCAGCTTTAGCCTCCTCTTAGGCCATCCTTCACTCCCCTTTCTTGGCAGAACTGACACCTGACCCCTGCTCCTCCTGCTACCCTGGTGCCCCACTGGCCTAGCTCGGCCCCGAGTCTCCTCCCTCCTGCTGCACCCAGTGCCCATCTGACCTGCTCATTTCATAGAGGAAGCGGTCTGCGCGTGCCATCCGCTCAATCTCGTGCTTGTGCTCCTCGAGGAGGTCGATGTCGCTCTTCTCCGGGATGAACTTGAGCAGCTGTAATGAGCAGGTGAGGTCAGGAGGGAAGCTGCTGAGCAGCGTATACAGTGTGAGGTTGGAGACGCTCATGCGTTGCCTCTGCTCAATAGTGGGAGGGCCTGCTGCAGCAGGGGGATTAAGAGTTCAAGGACGGCCTGGGCTTCATACCAATCTCAAGGCGAGCTTGAGCTACCTAGAGAGATGAGGCCAATCTGACATACACATCAGTTTTGAGGCCAGCCGGGGCTCCAGAGTGAGCTCAGGTGTTTTCTCTAAGTGCACCATGTGGGTGCAGTGCCTGCAGTGACCAGAAGAGGGAAGCAGATCCCCTGGAACTAGAGTCACCGAGAGTCCTGTGGGTGCTGGGAACTAAACATCTCTAAGAACCATCAGTGCTCTTAACCTCTGAGTCACCTCTCCAGTCTTGGTGCTATGGTTTGAATGTGTCCCTCTGCAGTTCACATATAGAAACTTCCCAATTAATGACATAGGCAGTAGAGCCTTTGGGTGGGGTGAGATGAGGTCACAAGAGTGGGGCCTGATAAGAGAAAGAGAAGTCGAAGCTATGGCATCTTCTCTGTCTCCTCCCATGATGCCCTCTACCATGCTTTGGTCTCTCGCCAGGCGTCAAGCAGAGACAGCACCCTGCTCTTGGACTTCCCAGCCTACAGGCCACGAGCTAAGTAAACTCACACAGATTAATTGGTCTCTGCGAGTTTGTCACAGTCCCAGAAAATAAGCTAAGTCGCTGTGCTTGATTTTGCCCCTGGCTTCTGCTCAGCGTAGCATCTAAGACTCACCCATGCTGTACATCACTAGTCTATTTACTACTTAGGAGCGCTCCACTGAAGGGATGCACCACGGTCTGTCTGCCCACTTTCCTATCGATGCTCAGGGGCGAGGTTTAGTGAGTTCAGTCAAGTTGTTATAGCTCAGCTTCAAAACTGTTTTCGCCACTTTGTCTGTCTGCAGTGCTCCTCACTGCAAACGCATGCCATTTGTTCTCTGTCTGCCTGGAAGACACAGGGCGTGTTATCATCCAAGGGGGAACAAAAAAAAACCAAACGTGTCTTTGGATCGACACTGACTCTTTTTCTTCTCCTTTCAGATTTTAAATTTATTCTAATTTATGTGTATGGGTGTTTTGTCTGCATGCATGTCTGTGTACCACCTGTGCGCATGGTGCCTGCAGAGGTGGGAAAGAGGGAGCCACAGCCCCTGAAACTGGAGTTATGGGTGGCTGGGAGCCAACACGTGGGTACTGGGAAGCAGACCTGTGTCTTCTGCAAGGGCAGCAAGTGCTCTTAACTGCTGAACCATCTCTCCAGCTGCCCGGTTTCTCTGTTGAGATAGTCTCATGAAGCCCAGGCTGTCCTCAAACCCCAGAAGGCACCCAGGAAGTCATGATGCTCAACAACAGTGCTCTTCGTTTTACCGGAGTCCAGTCAGCCGCATGCCTGTTTGCCGTTGCCAGGTCCTTAAAGGACACAGTGATTAAAGTGGAAGGGGGCTGAGGAGGAAATGACCATGGCCACCTGACTCTCCCTGAGACCTTGCAGGGGCCACAGAATTCTTTGGCAGCTTGTTCTAGAGGAAAGCCTGGTCCAGGGAAGATTCTGGAAACCTCAGTGCTTCCAGCTCCATGTGTCTTCACCTGAGGATTTCAGCCTCTCTGGTCTGGGGTAGAAAGTAGTATGGCTGCCCCAGGCTGGGCTCCCCCCAACAAGGGTCCTCACCTGCTCCAGCATATCCTTAGCGAGGTCTTCTTGCTCATCCATCCTCAAGATGGCCTGCCGTATCTCCTCGTTAGAAAGTTTCAACCTGCGACAAACACACTCTGAACAGCATGGCCTGGCCCTCACCTTCTCTCCAGCCCCAGCGCAACCCCTCCCTCCTCCCTCCTCCACACAGCTTTCCCAGGCCAGTTTCGTAATAGAGTCTAATATTAATAGAGGAAGTCCGATGGACTCCATGTGTCCAATAATGAGTGTTTTAGTTCTCATCAAAGCCCGAGTCCCTGATGCCTTGATTGAGACTTGTCAGAGCCGATGAGACACGTGGGATTAAGATAGATGGGCAGAGGCATTCTGGCAGCCATTTTCCTCCCCCACCTCTCCCTCCTGCCTCAGATATCTTCAGCATCTCCATGGGAGGACAGAGCAGGGTGTCAGAACTCTGGGAGAAGGCTCGCTCTTGCGTCTCTGACAACGCCCAGTTCCCAGCCAGCTCTCATCAGCCTTCCAGGAGCCCCTACTCACCACCTACACAGTCCTTCTTCACCCTCCCATGTACACACCCACAGAGAACCCCAGGGAAGCAGCCCTTCTCCGCCACTCAGTGGCAGAAACTTGGGCCAGGGAACTTGTGGGAGGGCAGAGGGGGCAGATGTCCCACAGGAGGCTGTAGGCGGCACTAAGAATAGAGCTTGGGGCGGTGCCCCTGACCCTGCCTGGGGGAGGCCCCCACACAGAAGCCATGCTGTTAATACAGATACTGCTTGTTTGTTCCACAGCCCAGGGAAATGCTTGCAGGCTGAGGTCATGTTGCTCTCAGGCCTCAGCTGAGTAGGCCCTCCGTGGGCTTAGAGCAGCTCTGCGGACAGATGCTCACTGTCACTCCTGATACGTCAGGAGCCTCAAGACCAGGCCAGTTTCATGTCTGAAGAGCCCCATGCTGCTGTTCAACATGGGCCTGCAGGACGGAGTCTAGGCTAGCACCCAGCCACCCCCTCCCCCCTGGGGAAGCAGAGAGGCAAGGCCAGCATCAGTGGGTTCCTCTGCCACCTTCCCCAGGCCTGCAGCTCAACCATGATGTGTGTTGTTTTGCAATGCTCTGGATGAGCCCACGTCTGGTGCATGCTGGGCAGTCAGGAAAGCACTCTACCACAGAGTTACCCTAACCTCGGCCCCTTCACCACCCATTTTGGGCTTCTACTTGGGGGCACCCATCTCTGCTACAGGTGAGCACTTACTTGGAGAGAAGAATAATACAGTTCTGGGCCCTCCGGCCATCAATGACTGACAGCTCTTTGACCTTTCGGGAGGCTAGGTAGATGTCCTCCGTGGAGCCCAGTTCTTTCTGCAAATGATGAGTTAAATGGGGAGCACTGAGGTAGGTGCTCCCAGTCTCCTTGCCCACCTCCCCGATCCTCCCTTCTTTCCGTGTGGGGATTTCTCTGACCCAGTGGACAGAGCAAGAGAAGCTGGGAGAGGTAGCCTGCTAATCACCAACTCTTATGAGAGATCTAGGACTAGCCTGGGCTAAGAAGGGTGGAGGCTAGCAAAGCGCCCCTCCCCCCAAGCTCAGCCTCTCTAGGAAAGCCAGGAAAGGAGCCATGCAAAGGGAAGCTGTGATTGATCTCTGTGTCCTCTGGCAAAATGGTGTTGCCTCTCACACCCCACCCCCACCCAGAGTCTCCTGAAACTTAGGAGGAGAAGCTGATCCCAACCCCCATTAAGGCCACAGTCTCTGACCCTGGAGACTTCTAACCTATCTCAATATGCCAGGGCTAAAGGATTTTACAAGGTCATATGGGAAAATAAAGGCAGAATCCGTACTGAATTCACTCCTGAGACGCCAATAGGCAAAATCAAAGCTCCCAAGCTTTCTCCTGCTGGACTTCCCCGGCCAGGGACTCGGGAGCCTGTTAACACACAGCTGTGACTCTAGGGGCTTTCCCAGAGCACATGTTCCGAGGCACGCAACTCCAGGGCCTGCCTTCCCGGCACGCCGGTATCTGTGGGGTTTCCCTCTGGAGTTGTGCAGCGCCCGACATGTGTAGCCATGCTGGAAAGCCTTGCCTTGGGACTGGTAGGGGACACAAGAGCCCTAGAAGCATTCTCCGTTCTGCGGACATTCGCCTCCGCGGCTGGCAGAGGTCTGCTTGGAGTCCCTCCATCTCTCACGTTTCCTCTCTCTCTCTGGGGACCCTCCTGCACGCCACCCTACATGGATGAGCAATAAAGGCTGAAGGCAGAGTAGGCAAGCCTGCTCTCGCCGTCCCACTTCCAGGCGGCAGCCCAGGACAGTGGGAGAGCGACGGAAGGTGCAGAGCCCTGAGAGTGCTCGCCTGCCGACAGTCATGTTAGTTATTAGCTCCCAGGCAGGCAGCAGCCACAGCCACCAGAGGATTAAACATGCACAATGTTAGCCAACAGCCTGGGGACTCAGAAGCATCAAGACAAATGTGGGTGTCCTTGCTCCCTATTCTGTTCACTGTGTCCCAGGAACAGGGAGCAGGAACCCAGAAACAGTCGTGGTCAGCAACTCAAGGCAGGCATGCCCTTAGAGAAGCCGGGCAAGGAATCCCCAGGCAGCCCGCCACTCTGGGACCAGGGGGGTGCCCAGTTGAACTGCGTATCCCCCAAATATGAGAACGGGGACTCCAAACTTTGAGCACTAGTTCTTTTGCCTCTGCTAAGAACCTGCTGAGAGGACAGAAGGTGCTCCTCCCCACCAGGTAAATTCTTCTTTATCAGGACATGGACTCGAACCAGAAGTTTGTGAAGCTCCTGATCTCCTGGGGCAGGAGAAGCAGGCAATCTTAAATTTGCCCCTTCCCTTGGCCTATCTGATGTCTATGGGGACCGAGGAGCACGGCTTGTCCTGTGTCTTTCTCCCTGACACTGATGGACTCATGGAGTTGAAGCCACAAGCTCAGAGCCTTGCTAGGACATAGAGGGGACTCGGAACCTTCTCTCCCACATGGCTCAAGGCCCTAAGGTTCAGAGAGGCAGTAACCAGGCCAGTTTGGCCTCTAGGATTGCTCTAGCTTGACTCCTGTGACTTTGGTCCTGATGTGAGTAAGGCCCATCTGAGCTGGGAGGGAGTGGGCTCAGCAGCCTGAAGCAGGCAGATCGGTCTTCAGACTGAATTATTCTCAACAACATGGGAGGCTTTAAGCGCCATATAAACTCTTTCATGTCTCCCATCCCAGCTCAGAGCCTTGGATTCTGGAGGGGCCAGTCCAGAATCCCATCACAAATGAAGAGGAGGCATGGACTTGCCATATGTGATACAGTCATACACCTCCCCCCCTTACTCAGGGCACAGGTGATCACGTGACTCTTCCCTACAGTCTTGACTACTGCCCTGACCATGCCAGCTTAACCACAGCGTGAGCTAAAACACTGCTTGGAATTCATTGTAGAGGATCAGACGTCACAGAGACCCACATTTAAATCAAATCAATAATCATTTGTTTTATCTGGAACCCCAAGATAGGCCAGAGTGTCAACTCCACACCACTCCTTTGGCCAGGGCCCAGGAGACCTTGACCCCGACTGCCCTGTGAAGTGTCATCTCTAGATATAGACTTAGCAGAAAGTAAAGTAGACTGAATGCAGGCTTCAGTACCTAGCCACCAAAAAGGGCTCTGAGTATACCAGAAGTCCTCGAGCCAGAGTCCTGGGCCTAGCAAAGATGAAGGAGTGGATGTGTAAACCTTAGAACACACAGGGAAAGCAAGGGCCATCGAGCCCCTGAGCTGTTCATCACAAAGCAGACTTGGGGGAGGCCCCCAGGCATGACAGCTGCACTCAAATTCCAGAACCCTACTCGTCTTCAGAGTTGCTTAGTATTGAAAGATGAGGGCTGACCCCCGGACGTCCCTACGAGTGCTTGTCATTTTAGACCAGCATCTGACTGCAAGTCAACCCCTTCCATTTTCTGTGGACAGAGGACTGGCCATGTATACAGAGACTCAACAGAGCAGAGCCAACCTTCAGGCCCAGCTCTAGTCTTGATTCCTGGAAGGGGAAGGGGCATGGAGTAGCATCCATCACCTTCCCTACAGCCACAACATCTCTGAAGATAGGGGTATATGTGTTTATGAGTGTGTGTGTGTGTGTTTGTGTGTATACCTATGTATGGGAGTGCATGTGTATAATGGAAAATGTGCATGTGTGTATGAATGTGTGTGTGCCTATATATGTGAGTGAGTGTGTGTGCCTGTGAGTGGGAGTGTGTGTGTGTATATATGAGAGTGTGTATTGTATGTGAGTGTGTGTATGTGTGTGATGTGTGTACCTATGTATGGGAGTGCATTGCATAATTGGAAGTGTGTATATGTGTATGTGTGCATGTGTGTGTATGTGAGAGTGTGCATGTGTGTTTGAGTGTATGTGAATGTGTATGTGCCTGTATGTGTGGGTGAGTGAGCGTGTGTTTCTGTGTGTGTGACTGTGCATATGTGTGCCTGTATGAGTGTGAGTATTATGTGAGTGTGTGTATAAGAAATGGTGGAAAAAGTAGGTTGAAAACTATAATCAGTCTCTAGGTATAGTCTATATTTTGTCAATCAAACAGAACAGTGTTCAATAGAGGCTAAGTTCAAGGGTCTACTTCCATCAAGTCAAAAGTACCGTTCCCTGTCTAGAAAAGGAGGTGCTGACCCTTCACTGGCCTGTGTAACTCTGGTTTATTTCTATGACCTTGGCAGGAACATGGAACCTTATTACTAATAAAGTCATTCAGCATACCTGTGAGGGAGGAAAATAAAGGAGAGACAGAGAGGAAAAGTGTGTGTGTGTGTGTGTGTGTGTGTGTGAGAGAGAGAGAGAGAGAGAGAGAGAGAGAGAGAGAGAGAGAGAAGACTGAAAGTAAAGATCCAAGAGACCAGAGAGTACTATCTTACCTGGTGCCTCTGATAAGCAGAGAACATTTTTTCAAAATCTTCCAGATCCAGAATTCGAAACACCTTCATGTCATCAATCTCATTCCACACGGTCCCAGAGACACGCTCCTAAGATTCAGGGTAAGGAGGAGAACCCATGGTTGATCCAGCTTCTCCATGACAGAGAGACCAATACTCCCCTAACCCCACCTGTCCCCAAAGGCAGACCGAAAACACATGTTACAATGGCCAGGCTCTCATACTTCCAGAAAGGAATTCAATAGCACCCCCCTCCCAACCTCCCACTTCTTCAATATTCTAGAAGACAACCTCCTTCTTACTCCTTTCCATGTGAGGCCACACGAAAGTGTTTCAGAGACCACTGGGGTGTCGGAGCACACAAATGAAAGGAGGGACCCCATGCTTCTTTCAGAAGGACACAGCACTGCTCCAAGGGCACCGTGCAGGCCGGCTCTGACTGAGTCCCTGGGAGCACTGTGGCTCGAACACATGTGGGACTATCTGCGCCTGTGCATAGAGTGCATGCCCGGGATCTGAGATGGGCATTGTCTTACCCAGGATCTTGTTCTTACTTCCCCAGATTCCCAGAAAGTGGACACATGTCAAAAGCTGGGACTTGCTGGCCCCATGTACTGACTTTGTTCAGATCAGCAACTTGGCTCAACTTCCTGTTAGAGCCAGGGAAGGTGTCCCCATCGTTTATGATTGCAATGAACCCATAAATTTATAGTTCCCAGCTCCCTCGCTTGAGGCAGTGTCCCATATTTTTGTACATTTTGCTTGAGTCTACAGAAGGCCAAACTTCACCAGCAACCTTGTAACATCATGTTGATGGTCCAGAGGACAGGGTCATGGAGGACAAGCATGGAATAGAGGAGCACTTCTCCCTGTGCAGCCCTTCCCCCAGGAATCCTTGTCTCGTCTAAAGCATTAGTCTTTGGAACAACAACCTCCCATCACCTACTTCCATCTGTCAAAAGGTCTGTCAGGCAACCATCCTTCTACCCTTTGCTACATCTCCTCCTCAGATTTGAGACACTACCTTTCCCTCATTTCTATTTTCTTAAACTCTGAAAAGGGGAGGCTAGGCCAGAGTCAAGAGGGAGGAGACATTCCTGTGGCCTTTCGAAGGCCAGGGACCCTCGTGTGGAATGCGGGGCTGGGAAGCTCACAGCAGCAAGGGATATAGGCAACTGGCCAAAGCCAACACAGACACATTCTTTTCATGGTGGAAACAACCCGTGTGTGTGTGTGTGTGTGTGTGTGTGTGTGTATGTATGTGTGTGAGTGTGTGTCTGTGTGTGTGTCTGTGTGTCTCTGTGTGTATGTGTGTGAGTGTGTGTGAGTGTGTGTATGTGTGAGTGTGTGTGTATATGTGTCTCTGTGTGTGAGTGTGTGTGTGTCTCTGTGTGTGTGAGTGTGTATGTGTGTCTGTGTGTGTGAGTGTGTGTGTGTCTGTGTGTGAGTGAGTGTGTGTGAGTGTATGTGTGTGTGTGTGTGTGTGTGTGTGTGTACATCTAAGAGAATATGTAAGATAGAGGAAGGGGCTAGAGAAAGAAACTGGACTCCTGGAAAGGAAGCGAGAGGAGGAGATGGGGAGCTGAGTCAGGAAGGCAGGGGAGCCAGCTGGAGCAACGGGGGCTCTGGGAACCTAGGGTCTTCTGTACAGGGGTAGGGGTGAGGAAGAGGAGGCCCGTAAGAGTGAAGATTCCAGTCCTTTGTATTCTTGTGGAGTTCAGAGCAAGGATGGAGAGATGAAATAGTTGGGTATTTAACATGACAAACCAGTTATCTCAACAGTCACTGCTACAAACACAGCCTGTTTCCCACAGTTGCCAGGGCTTTCAGTCCTTCATGGAAACATCATGGGGTTTGGAGCTGAGAGATCATCAGACCATAATTTCCATCATATCACCCTGGTAAATCCACCTTGGATGATAATTCTTCAGTTTAATTTTTTCAACACTGTCATCTCTAGCCTAGATTCCTGGGACTTCCGACCCCAGGAGATAGCTGCAGAAGTCCCATATAGCCTTTTCCCAGGATCATGCTTCACGATGGTTCCCCCACAGGGTACCGCCTTTGGGGCCCAGCAGACCCACTAACTGACGTTTCTAGCCCTGCTATTATATGATCTGTGAGCAAATGGAAGGATATTATTTCAACCCCATAGCCCAAATGGGAAACTGAGTCTCAGGGAAGTACAGTTCAACTTTGTTGACATGAGAATCATGGTGACATACTTAGAGAACACGTGTTTTCCACTCTGTCCACGTCACAGTGCGTTCTAAATAGTATGCTGTCAATCCTCACAACCAAGGGTATTGTGGTGAACCCTTCCCCCAATTTACAGAAATACTTAAATCATCTGCCCTGTGACAAAATTAAAAGCTTGGGATTGCTTCTGCCCCATGGATCTAGGTACTCTACCCTCTCTGGGTCCCGAGGGAACTGTGTGGTCTGTGTTAACACTGAACCACAGAGAAAATCCCAAGCACAAAGGTCAGCATCCCAACATCAGAGAAGCTGTTGGTGATCAAGCCTGTATTCCCTTCTTCTACTGTTGTTGTTTGTGTGATGTGTGTTCACGGGCATTTTTGTGCCACGGCATGTGCATGTGGAGGTCAGAGGTCAACTTTGTAGAGTCAGCTGCCTCCTTCCACCTTTCTGGGTGGTTTCTGGGGCTGAACTCACGCCAGGAAGGTTACACAGCAAACTATCAGTCCTTGACTGTATTTTCTTAATGCCTGCCACATCCTATGATTTAATACATTTCATGGGAGGGTATGCATATGTGTGGGGTGTGTGCAGGTGTATGTGGGTATACATATATAAAGCCATGTCTGTGAACATGTGTGTCCATGCGCATGTGTGTATTGAGCATGTGCAGACCATATCAGCTGAGTGTTGTTTCTCAGGAACTGTGCGCCTTCTTTATTGAGACAGGGATTTTCACGTCCTGGAACTTAAGTAAGCTGGGCTGGCTGGCAGCCAAGCCTCAAAAATCCTCCTTTCACTACCTCGTCAGGGCTTGGATCAAGCACATGCTATCATGTCGAAGTCTTCTCATTTACTTCTTTTCTTTTTTTCATGCGCATGCTAGGGATCGAACTCAGGTCCTTGGGTTTACATAACAAGCACTGTTCCAATTGAGTTACCTATCTAGTCCTTCACATTCATTAAAGTTATTTTTACAGTTATTTATTTTGTGGGAGGCACACACATTCGAGGGAGGTTAGAAGTCAATTTCAGGAGTCTGTTCTCTCCTTCCACCTTACGGGTTCCAGGGATCTGACTCAGGTTCTCAGGCTGAGCAGCAAGCATCTTTGTACACTGAATCATCTCACTGGCCCCGAACTTGCTACATTAAAAAATTTAAAAAAAGTTTATAAGCCCCAAGTACAGGAGCTGAAACATTTTGAGACTCAGGCTTTCGGTTCTAGACTGCCCTTTGCCTGCGCCTGTGCTCTGGCCTGTGGCTTTCTCTCTGCCCATCAGAAATCTGCGCGGGCACGACGCAGCTGCTGCCTAGAGAAGGTCGGAGCTGTACGCATCTAGCTGTGCATGCTCTTACAGGTGGCTTGAATGCTTTAGCAACTCATGAGATGGAGTGGGCTGTATCCGCGCTCCATGTTTCCACCCTGGCTGGGAAGCCTGTAGAAGGACCTTAGTGACCACACTGGACAATGAAGTCATGGTAACAGACCAGGGGGCGTGATTTCCATGGGTGGCACAGTCAGAGGCACATTAGGACTGGTTAGGGCTGAGCCATCTCTCAGTCCGTCTTCCAGATCTGTAAGCACTTCAGGCTACGTATCCTAATCAGTCAGATCCTAAGCTCTCAGGAGGCAACACCATTTTTCCTTCATTGTCTCTGCCTCATTCTTTCAGACAGGGTCTCTCACTGAACCGAAAGTTTGTCACTCTGGTTATGCCAGTTGGCTTGCAAGCTCCTGGAATCCTCTTGTTTCTGTCTCCCAATACTGGGGTTAAAGACATATACAGCCACAACTAACTTTTTATGTGGATGATGGGGTTTAAACTCAGCTCCTCATGCTTGTAGAGAAAGCATTCTTGTCCAGAATCATCTCCTTAGCCCCTCACATCTGCTTCTCCATTGACCCTCAGCACACACAAGCAGCTTTGACAGTAAGCACAAGGTTAGCACCAAACATTTCCCCTAGTGTTGGTGTTCAGAGGGGACAGTAAGCCACCTGACTCCAGAACACCTATCAGCAGTGCCCACTATGCCCACCCTAATGCCTGACCAAATAGAGAATCAAGAAGACTTGTGCAAAGTGCAGGGTGCAGGACACGGGCCTGCCTGGTCAGTCCCTTACTACTTACCTCATTCAGCTTGACCCAGTTGAAGGACTTCAGTGGGTGTGAAGGCTGGGGGGTGCGCTTTTTCCTGAGCGGGGCATCATTGCTGGGGAAGGGGTCCTGAGGCAGGGGCATGCCTGAGTTGAAGCAGGGTGGGGCACCTGGGGGGATAGGAGGCCCTCCAGGAGGAAGGGGTGGCGGGGGTGGAGGTGGGCAGCAGGCAAAGGGGAGAGGGGGTGGGGGTGGAGGCAGATCATTGGTTGTTGTGGAGGAAGACAGGGTGAGTGGACCTCCAGGGGGAGGTGGGGAAGACACTGGGCCCACCTGTGGGAAGACAAAAACAGGCAGGATGGGGTGCCCGTCAGCACTTAAGCTAACCGAGTCTCCACATTATCCCTATTTCCTCCTCACTGAGCCATCCTCAATCCTTCATGTCCATTTAGACACCATTTTCCTCTCTGTATTTTAATAGCCAACATCCATGCACAGACAGTCATGTACACACACAGAGAGACACACATGTGCACACGCACAGAGATACAGACACACACGTGTGCAAACACACACAGATACAGACACACACATGTGCAAACACATACACACACACACTAAGCGACCAGAGTCACAACCATCAAATGAAACATTCAGACACGTGAATACAGCGGTTCAGGCTGCTCCCTATATGAGGACATCCAGCAGGGGCAGAAATTCTACCTGCACTCTCTTGTCCAAAATTCACATCTGGGAACACTGTCATCCCATCCAGAGGAGGGCCATTTTTTTTTCTAAACTGTTAACATAAAGGGCTCACCCATACAAACTGAAAAGCCACTTGGGTTGTGGCTCAATGTCCCCCTTTCTTTTCTCCCTCATCTCGGGGTTCTTGTCTTCTTCCCATACCTGCTCTGCCCGCTCCCACCCGACACTCAGGGTGCTGGCTGAACCACACAAATGGGAAGGGATAGTGCCCGCGAACGCGTACTGAGATATCATTGAGTTGGGCTACCAGTTCTGCCACTTGTCCCCTAGCTTGGCGCAGTTCCTGCGACTCCCGGGCCAGCTTGTCCTTCATCTTGTTCAGGGTCCTCATCATCTCCTCCTTCTCCAGCGTCTTTGTCTCACATTCCCGCTCCTTTCTCTCCAGCCGGCTGACGAGCTCCATGTGTTCTGGAGGTGGATGGGACCACAGAGAAAGTGGGAGGAGAGCCGGGAGCAGGGACTTTTCTGAGGGAGGAGATGGGGTCCCAGGCAGGGTGCAGCTAGTTTAGGTGGACCCTCTCACCCTTCCTGAACTTCTCGGCTTGGTCTCGCCACTGCTTCACTTCGTTCTCATTGATGAGCCTGTTGAAGAGTGGAAGGGACCACGTGACTGACATTATCTCCTCCGTCCATGAAGACAAGCATCTCTGCTCCGCAGAGGAGAAATTGAACTCTGATCTGTTCAGACACAGGCTTCTCACGTGCCTCTCCAGGCCCCCATTCCTGCCCCTTCTCACTCTCACGTGCCTCTCCAGGCCCCCATTCCTGCCCATTCTCACTCTCACGTGCCTCTCCAGGCCCCCATTCCTGCCCCTTCTCGTTCAGTGTCCTCATGGACCATGAGAACGGGAAGGACCCCGAGTCATCTTCCAGTCCAGCTTCCTGTGTGATGCTTGATGGGAATGAGAGGTAAGTTCCAGATAGAGGACCGAACCCAGGCTGCCTGCAGTACCCGCGTGCGCATAGACACACTCACACACATGCACACACGCACACCTTTGTAAAGGTAGATCAGTACATCTAAGAGACAGAAATATCAGTCTCATGAGTAAGGCATGGGACACCGGGAACCGTCCACCCGACTGAACAGAGGAGCAATGGCGCCTGAATGCAGGCACACGTGTGACACACGGCAGCCTCGTTCACAGCAAACTCTTCTAACAGGTGTTAAAATTAGATTTTCCTCAGACTCCAGAGTTCTGAGGGATTGGATCCCATCATGATGGCCCAATAATCATTACATTTTAATGTTGTTTATTTATCGACTCCATGCCACTGCCTGTGGAAACCAGAGAGGACAACTTGGAGGGTTTATTCTCTCCTTTGGCCATGTAGATTCCTGCTACTGAAGTCAGGTTGTTAGGCTTGGCAGCAAGTGTCTACACTTGCTGAACTGTCTTGCTGGCCCATGGTGATATTTCTTTGGAGGGGCCACTACTGTGGTCATTGGGGTGCTACATCCTTTACCACCCAAAGAAGTGGTTCCCTGGGTATGGACAGAATCTTGATGATGTTCCCTATCTGGGGAGGGGAGAGGGAGACTGGGTTCTTCTTGGGGCCAGGCAAATGCAGATGGTAAAGAAGGGCTAATCAACCCAGACAGTGTGACTGTGCTGGGACCTGTTGGCGCCCCGAGAGTTTGCTGACACAGCCTGTGTGAGTTAAGCAGATGCCAGTTAGGGCCCTAGTGGTTGAACTGGGCTGATGCCATTTGTCTAGGAAGCCCAGGGGCCCATTTAGGAGATAACCAGAAACATCACACTCTCGGCCAGTGTGCACTGGCATGCCAGAGAAGCAATAGTTGACGGGAGGGCCAAAATCAGACAACCCACCAGATGGAGGTAGGGAGCCTCTTGCCTGTCCGTGTGTCACATTCTATAGGGAAAGGCCCTTAGCATGGAACTCTAGAAGCCCTCAGTGTACTCGCGTGAGAGCCCGAGAGCGGGATGCCTATTATTACACAGCTCAATTAAGACCTTTCCCCTGCCTCCTTCCTGTCCCCACCTACACTGTGAAGAGTGACAGACACTGTGCTAGCTTGTAGATCTGGGATACAGAAAGGCTCAGAGGAAAAATGGAACAGAGACAAGAAAAGAAAAACCCAGTCATACCACACATATGCACAAGTAAGCAGAGATATAACCCTCATCCCTATTCTGACCTCTGGGGCTCAGAGGAGAGACATTTAAGGCTGAATCAAGTCTCATATGTTGGTTCACACGTGGGAGCAGCCCTCCCATTTGCTTAAAGCGATTTTTAAGACTCCTGCAACCCAAGAACACAGAGGCTTCGCTGGATCCCAGGAATCACCGTGTCTGCAGGGGAAATATTTCCCCACTAAATAACACAAAGAGTTTGCAGAAAACCAAACTAAAGCCATCTTGTGATTATTTTACTAGCTGTACTTGAGCCAGAAGCCAGCTAGGGGTTGAATGAAATCAACACCTGGTCATTTGTGCAAATAAAATGAGAATCATTTAAAATCTACTTTGCATTTGGCTTTGGAATGCAAAATCAGGAAGGCATCTGTCCCCTGAAGGACAGTTAGCTCAAACACATATCAAAGTTAAATAAAAATGTAAGTAAAATATCAGGACATTAAGGCAGGTCTTATTATTAGCTTACCAATGTAAGCATAAATGGTTTCTGTGTGTCCTCCTATACCCACAGTGTTTGAAAGCTCTATGGCTCTAGCAACCTCATGCAATAGGGTTATGTTCAAATGGCCATGCCCCCTGTCAGTGGCCACCAAACCTGTAAAGAGACAGCATTGGTATTTAGGTGTTTTGTACCCCATGCACAGGGCTGTCACACAGTGTTTGTTGGCATGAAGCCTAAGAACATGCCGTGGCAACAGCTCAAGACTTGGGTTTGATCCCCAGAACCTGCTTACATAACGGGTGAAGTGGTGCACAGCTGTGACCCAGCACAGGGAGGTGGAGATGGGCAGATCCCTGAGGCTATCTCACTGGCTAGCCTAGCCTAATTAGGGAGTTCCTGGCCAACAAGAGAACCCATCTCAATGAAAATGGATGATGTACCCGGGGATATTGGTGGCTTCCACATGTACATCATACATGTGCATGCACACACATATGAACATGCACATATATGTATATGCACATGATGCATGTACAGACACTCCAAAACAAAAATAAATAAATAAATAAATAAATGAAAAGCAAAACCATTCTTAGCTCTAACTGGAGGACTGGGCTGGCTCATGACCTATGGCTGACTGGCCAATGTACTGTGTAAATGCTCTTAGCCTCTCTAGCTAAGCCTTGCAGTGGACCATGGAGAAGAGAGAGTTGAGAGTGTAACACATACTCATACTGTCCAGTATGGTCATCAGTAAGCTCATGACATGTGGTTATCCACATTTAAATGAGACAAAATGAAGACTCTAGTCTCTCAGTTACACTTGACATATATGCCCCATACTCATGGGACAACTGTGACTGCTGCCATGGTTAATCTTGTCTCTCTGACAGGACCTGGAGTCATCAAAGAGGCAAACCTCTGGGCATGTCTGTCAGGAAATTCCTAGGTTGGGTTCACTGAGGAAAGAAAGCCCACCAGTACCATTCCATGGGCTAGGGAGTGGGTACACAGAGGAGAGGGGACCCACCAGTACTATCCTCCCTCCCCCCTTCCTCCCTCCCCCCCTTCCTCTCTCTCTCCCTTCCTCCCTCCCTCCTTCCCTCCCTTCCTCC